CTTGGCAGCAGAAGAACTGTGTCATGGAAGCAAGGATGGAGAGCCTCACTCTGCAGGACATCCTGCAGGGCATCTTGTTTTGAAGTGGTTAATAGAGCAAGATAAAATGATGAAAGAGCCGAAACCGGTTTGGCTCAGTGGATAGAGCGTCAGCCTGCAGACTGGAAGGGTCCTAGGTTCCATTCCGGACAAGAGCATGTACCTTGGTTGTGGGCACATCCCCAGTAGGGGGCGTGCAAGAGGCAGCTGAACAATGATTCTCTCATCGATGTTTCTCTCGCCCTTCCTCTCTGTAAAAAAAAATCAATAAATTATATTTTTTTTTAAAAGAAGAAAGCGGAAGATACAGTTGTTTTGCAAAAACACTTGTAGAGCATGTCGGTACGAAGAACCTGAAGTCCTGGGCTAGTGTAAATCGAGGTGCCATTCTTCTTTCTAGTCTTCTCCAGAGTTCTGATCAAGAAATTGCAAGCAAAGTCAAAGCTGGACTAAAAGCCTGATTTCCACATTGGAGAGAGAGAAAAAGCACCAGCAGAGTAGAAATGCTGCTTATAAACACTGTCTGTGTAGATGGAAACAAGCAACAATATGGAATCATGGTTTCTCTGCTGATCTGTTTTCCCAGAGTGGAGAGAAGGGCTAGGGTCCACCTGGCTGGTAATTTGTGTACTCTGTTTATGTGTTTCTTCTTTGTAAAGAACACGTGGGGTCCCTCCTGTCTCCGATTGGGGCCATGGGGGCAGGCCAGCCAGGAGGGACTGCGGGAGGGCTCCACGGTGTGTCCAGCCCTTTCACCTAGTCCCAATTGGCTGGACCCCAGCAGCAAGCTAACCTACTAGTCAGAGTGTTTGCCCCCTGGTGGTCAGGGTGTGTCATAGTGACTGGTCGACCAATCTGTCAAATATTTAGCTTTTATTATATATGATGCTTTTTTTAAAAAAACTTTTTAAAGTATATTTTATTGATTTTTTACAGAGAGGAAGGGAGAGAGATAGAGAGCTAGAAATGTCAATAAGAGGGAAACATCGACCAGCTGCCTCTTGCACACCCCCTACCGGGGACGTGCCCGCAACCAAGGTACATGCCCTTGACCGAAATTGAACTTGGGACCTTTCAGTCCGCAGACCAACGATCTACCACTGAGCCAAACCGGTTTCGGCATATATATGATGCTTTCTAAAAATACCCTTTAAAAATAAAAAATAAAAATCTATGGCAAAATATCCTCAGGTGAGAACAAAAAAAAAAAAAAAAGAAAGAAAGAAAGAAAAGAAATGCCATAAAGAACTTGTCAATGTTTCATTAAAAAAAAAAAAAAAAAAAAAAAAAAAAAAAAAAAAAAAACTTAACTAAGGAGGTAAAAGACCTGTACTCAGAAAACTACAGGACGTTGAAAAAAGAGGTAGAGGAAGATATAAACAAGTGGAAGAAGATACCGTGTTCATGAATGGGTAAGCATTAACATCATTAAAAAATCCATACTACCCAAAGCAAACTTAGATTCAATGCAATCCCTATTAAATTACCAATGGCATAGTTCACAGATCTAGAAAAAATACTCCAAAAACATATATGAAACAAACAAACAAAAAAATTCTGAATACCTTCAGCAATCTTGAGAAAGAACAATGGAGAGATCACAATACCAGATATCAAATTATACTACAAAGCCAATGTAATCAAAACAGCCTATACTGGTATAAGAACAGAAATAAAGATCAATGGAACAGAACAGAGACCCAGAAATTGGCCCAAGCCACTACAATCAACATTTGAAAAGGAGACAAAAGAATAGAATGGAGTCAACACAGTCTCTTCACTAAATAGTGTTTGGAAAATTGGACAGATACATGAAAAAAAAAAAAAAGTAACTAGACCAAAAACTTACACCATACACAAAAATAAATTTGAAATGGATAAAGAACTTAAATGTAAGTCGTGAAACCATAAAAATCCTAGAAGACACCATGGGCAGCAAAATCACAGACATTTCTCACAGCAATGTTTACAGATATACCTCATAGGGCAAAGGAAACGAAGGAGAAAAGAAACAAACAGGACTACATCAAAATAAAAAGCTTTTGCACAGCAAAAGAAACTGTATGGCAATGATACATCTGATAAAGGGTTAATATCTAAAATATGTAAGGAACTCATACAACCTAACAAAAAGAAGACAAACAATCCAATTTAAAAATGGGGTAAAGGGCCAAAACAGGTTTGGCTCAGTGGATAGAGCCTCGGCCTGTAGACTGAAAGGTCCCAGGTTCAATTCCAGTCAAGGGCGTGTACCTTGGTTGCGGGCACATCCCCAGTAGGGGGTGTGCAGGAGGCAGCTGATCGATGTCTCTTTCTCTCATCGATGTTTCTAACTCTCTATCCCTCTCCCTTCTTCTCTGTAAAAAATCAATAAAAATATATTTTAAAAAATAATTAAAAATGGGGTAAAGGACCTACATAGGCACTTCTCCAAAAAGGACATACAAATGGCCAAGAGACATATGAAAAAATGCTCCAAGTCACTAATCATCAGAGATAAAAATCAAAATGACAATGAGGTACCATTTCACACATTTCAGAATGAATGGCTACTACCAACAAATCAACAAACAAATGCTGGTGAGGATGTGGAGAAAAGGGAATATTAGTGCACTGCTGGTGAGAGTACAGATTGGTGCAGTCATTATGAAAAACAGTATGGAGCTTCCTCAAAAAATTAAATAGGAAACTACCATTTGACCCAGTGAGCCCACTTCTAGGAATATATTCTAAGAACTCTGAAACAGCAATCAGAAAGAATGTGTGTACCCCTTTGTTCATAGCAACACAATTTACAATAGCTAAGATCTAGAAATAGCTCAAGTGCCCATCAGTAGATAAGTGGATAAAAAGTTGTGATGCATTTACACCATGGAATACTATGCAGTAGTAAAAAAAGGATCTCTTACCCTTAGATACAGCATTGGAGGGACCTGGAAAGTATTATGCTAAACGAAATAAGCCTGTCAGAGAAAGACAAATATCACATGATCTCACTCCTATGTGGGATCTAATGAAAGAAAATAAACTGTTAAACAAAATAAATCCAGAGACCTAGAAGCATGAAACAAACTGTCGAAATGTCAGAGGGAAGATGGGGGAGGGTGAATGGTGGGAAAAGATCCGAAGAACTTGTATGCGTATATGCATAACCCATGGACACAGACAATAGGGGGGGTGGAGGCCTGGGCAGGAGGCAGGAGTGGGCTATAAGGGGTCAGTGGGAGAAAAAAGGGGCCATATGTAATACTTTCAACAATAAAGATGTTTTTAAAAAATAAAATTTATGTGAAATTTAGTGAAAAACTGGGGGGGAAATGTTTTTTTCTCTTCCTTAGTTTTTAAATTTATCCTAGAACCTTTATAACAGTTTCCAAGTAACTATCAAGCTGATAGGTCAAGCTTATTTACTATATTACCTACTGAAATGATAACTGCAGTAAGAGAATTAACAAATTCCCAAGGAGCTACCTCACGGACTTTCAAGACAGTGTGAAGAATACGTATTTTATGTGGCAGAATATGGCTTTAATACACAGAACAAGAATTTTAACGTGTGAACAAAAGGTGGTCAAAATATAAGTCTACACTGAACATATGTGGAAAAGATATTTAATTGTAAAATAGAAAAGTAGGCCAGAGTAATTGCTTCTTAAGGGTAATTGCTTCTTTTTACAGTATAGATCATCTAGAAGGGCCTTAGGGTTAAACATTTTCATAAAGCAATAAAACATTAATGCAAGAAATAAAGCAAGAAAAACTGTATGAAGTTACACTTTACAAAAAAAAAGAATGAACAGTATGTCAGAATGTAATGTTCATACACTGTGGAATCCGACAATATTGTGATGAGAATAGTCGCAGCAGACATACAGCTTTCACAGGGAAAAGTAAAAGTTATGGTAGACACCTCTATAGCATCACTGTGGTACAAAAAGTTCTTGTTCTACATACAAAAGCATTTTTCTCCATAAGAATAATTTCCTGGGGAAGGGAGGGGAATGAGTCCATGAAATATTTCAGAAACCCATATGCTTTGAGTTTTCCAAAAACATTATCTTAAAACATACTGCCTTAAAGTGCTTTCATGTGGAAATCATGATGGAAGGCACAGAATACAGTTTCACGTCCCCACTATGAAATTTTCAAAAAAGCATAGATTTTGTAGTTTGCAAATTCAAGTTATCTTGTAAGCTGCTCCTTCCAAGAACACTATCATTCCAATAAAACCAGCTGCTAGTTTACTTAGTTAAGATGACCTACAGAATAAAAGAAGGGTTTTTTCCCCTAATAACTTTCATCATCTTTGTGGGGAAAATACCTATACAAGTGATACATTTTGAAATTATAAAACATGCAGAATATGTACAAACACAAAATTTAAAAAATATTTGCTTCATATACATGTAAATCTACTTGGGTATAGTTGAAGTTGAACAAATATAAAAATTTGTCTTCTAAAAAATGTTTTCAGAGAATCTGAGACAACTTAAAGCTGTACAAACATTTCCTGGGAGAAATCTCTTCATACAGAAGCTTTAACCTACAGGAGCAATTCCAGTATCAGTCCACCACATAATTATGACACATTTGGTCTAATCAACGATCACCCTTAAAATTGTTCTGTTTCTGAGAAATTAAGGTTCGTTCGTACTAAAATCAAAAAGAATTCACAAAAACAGTGGCTTATTGTGTTTTTGGATCTCTTCAACAATCTTTATCAACTCATTTAGAACTGTAAAAAAAAAACAAAAACTATTTACAGAATTCAGTTTTAAATACATTTGACAACTTCAAAAGTTCTATGTTACAAGGATTCAGACCACATGGCTTTAAAGTCCAATTATCAATCTGTAGTCTCTTCTAGCCTCCTGTCTTCCCATGACTGCACCTTACTGTGTATAGTTCAAGACTGTATTTTTCCTTGACCAAAAGTAACTCAAACTACATGTTCACTTCAACTAAACAGCTTCTTTATTAGTCTGAAGACGAGTCATAGCTTCTAATTTCTGTCTGTAGGCTTCTGCTTCTTGTTCTTTCTTTAGAAGCTGCTGTCGATATTTTTGGGCCTCTCGGTTTGCTTCATCCAGCTGTTTCTGAAGAGCTTCTCTCTCCTAATTAAGCAAAAAAAAAAAATTGTTGTTTTTTCAACTTTTGCGTAAATGCATTATTAACATCTATAAGCATGCATCCTTTAATAAAACAATGGAACCTAAAAATAGTTACCTATTGATATTTCCTAGACAAGTTGCCTTTTCAACCAATTCAGTAATAATTAAAGCCCCTGATTTTGTGCTCCACACTGTGAGATACAGATTGCAGTTGTTGTTGTTTTTAATCTCAAAGAAATTATTCCCTAATTAGATATAAGACTAACATAATGATCCCAAATAGGTACCTGTACTCTCATATGTACTACAAAAACTAGGGAAGAACTTTAAGAAGGAGATATACCATCATAGCTCTCCATATCTTTATCTGCATTTTTATCTAAAGATAATATTTTTAAAAATAAAAATAAAGATAAAGCCCCTGATTTAAATATTTTTTAAAATAAAAATAAAGATAAAGCCCCTGATTTAATCATTTCAAGCATTTAAATGCTTAAAAACAGTATTTATTGAGCACTCATCATATGACAAAACAAGATGACTTCCAAGGACAAGCCTCTACGACAGATATTATGCCTATTTTACAGATGAGGAAAATGATGCTCGGAGATGATGTGGCTTTCTCATGTAACATGATAAAGAGTCAGGTTTGTGAGATTCTGATATTACTGCTTATATAACTACCTTTCTCAAAGATAGCGAGCAAGATTCCTCATCTCTAAAATGACGAGTGCTGGTCTAAATTAGTGTCCTAAATTATATCATTTCACAAATCAATAAAGTACTAATTTCTCTACTGTGATTAGTGAATTATTCGGGTATAAAATATATGTACTGAATTTCTCAATAAGTTGAGAGTTGAAACAAATCTGGTCCTCCTCCTCACTCTGCCTCTATTCAGCGGCCCACAGGAAAACATTTCACAGGTTCTCGTCCCACACCTCTAATAAGCACAAGAACAAAAGCTTGCCCTGCACACACCCAAGCTCAACCAACTTACAGAGGCCCAGGATCTATTAGTGTGGTGGGGCTGAGGGTAAGACTATTAATCATAAGAAAGGCCACACTCACACTGGACAAGGCACTTGACCAGAGGAAACTGACGGCATGGGGTCAGCATCTTGCCGGGGAAAAGGCAGTGTGAGAGTCTCATCCACTGCCTTGACCCTTATCCAGTGTGAAACCAAAAATTCCCTCTTCTTCATTATTCACATGGTCCACAAGGGGGAGCATATTTACTACTTCTGCCTTCCTGTAAATCCCATTCCCCTCCCTACACTGGGAATAAAGAGACATCTAACATTTATTTTTCCCGTGGGTTCATCAAATGTGGAAGTGGTTAGCTACACAAGTAGTATTCAAATCTTCCAATTGCACAAAATGTACAAGTAGAAGAAAGATGTGCCCTTCATCTGCAATTTAAGAAATTCCCAAGCCCTACTTTGCTACTCTTTTCTTACCCACTCCTTATCCCAGGCAAGATAACAGAGTAGGAACAAGTCAGAAAGAACACCCAAAAGATGAGCCTCGTGGAAACAATCAACGCCAGTGCCCTGGTAGTGAACACGGAAGGCTGAGCACAGCAACAGGAAAGAGGAGGTGGGGCTGCTTCCCCAGGAGCTGGACCCTCACCAACGGGCAGGAACCCTTACAGCTATTCACACGTGTTATCAAATGTCACTCGTGTTAAGAAAGAAGATCCTTTGGCAGCCAAAGTTTTGAATATGGATAAAAGTAATTTGCCTTGATTTTGTAGGAAGAATTAAAACAGATACTCTAAGGTATCTTTGCCTGGTAGCTATTTATTAACATTTAGGAACAGCAAGGGAGTCACAAGTATTTCAAAGGATAAAAGCAAACTGAGTGAGATAAATAATCTAACAGTGAATACAGTTTAGTCCTATTTTCCTTATTTCATATATTTTTTCAACTCGTAGAAAGCATCTTAATATAAACTAAATGCATAGTTAATATTATTAAAGTTTGTTTGTGCTTTTATTTTTTACTTCTCAGAAATATAGGTATTTGGGGAAAGAATCTTTTTGCCATTTTACTTTTCAAAACATAAAATCTCTAAAAAGTGGAAAATATTATTTTTTTATTTTACTCAAAAGATCCTGTTTCCAAATTCATTTACTGAACATATTGACATGTAAGATACTTTCTTAATGCAAACAGTAATTCTGTTGTTTTGCATATAAATAGTGAAGCAGAATCACATTTGAGATTTATATTTAAATAGAAATGCCAATCCAATGGCTTTGATGTTTTGCAATAAAACCACAATAAAAAGAATTTTGAGGGGGGAAGCGGAAAAAAAAAGAGTTTTGACATTTTTCAATAAATATACTAATATATTATTATTATATGAATAATTAGTACTAATATTAATACTAAAGTATTTTCCCTTTAACTGTCTAACATTGAAAATTTTCAAAAAATAAAATAAAATCTGCTAAGATTTGGTAGCAAAAAAGAAAATATTTGTCTTACACAACTCTAAACAAGAGCCATATATTATTATTACATTAGGCAATGGAACAACAGAGTGAGGAAAGACTTGAGTTTGCTTTTTCATTTTGAAACAAGATTCTTGAATTCTGCTTCAGCTAGTAGCAATTATCTTTTACTGAGCATTTACTATATGCCAACCACTGAACTAGTCCTTCACATGTACTCTCCTTTAAACCTTACACAGTCTGATAATGGAGGTGCTATTATTTCCCCCTTTTTAGTGGTGGGAAAGCCAAGCCTTAAAAGGTTAAATTAACTTGTTCAATATCAAACAGAGAATTATAAAATATAATTCAAATCTAAATCTGATGCCAGACCCATATTCTTAAATTATTAAATGTTTTGTTTTGTATTTTAACATGGAAACTGGACAGGGTGTAGGAGCTTTCCATTTGTTTGTGTGTAAGCATCAATTTTCTAACTGCCATAAACCAAATATGAACCTGGTTTTATCGAAATATAGCCATACCTATTCATTTCCAAATTGTCTGTGGTTGCTAACCTGCCACAATGGCAGAACTAAGTAGCAAAACACAGACTATATAGCCTAGAAAGCCGAAATTATTAGCTAACTAGCCCTTTCCAAAAAAAAAAAACCTTGACTACTCCAGCGCTGGAAAAAAAATTATCAAAAAGGGATATAACTGCCAGCCGCAGTGGCTCAGGGATGGAGCGTCGACCTATGAACCATGCGGGCACAGTTAGATTCCCCGTCAGGGGTACATGTCCAGGGTTTTGAGCTTGATCCCCAGTGAGGGGTGTGCAGGAGGAAGCTAACCAATGATTCTCTCTCATCACTGATAGTTCTTTCTCTCCGAAATCAATAAAGACATATTTTAACAAATAAAAGGGATATGACTATAAAAAAATTTAAATTTTGGAAGATTAAAAGGTTCATCATTAATAGAAGGAGAGCAAATTTTAAAAATTTTATCAAAAGAAACATTTTGTAAAGTTTATAGAAATTAATTTTTTAAAGAACACTAAGGATCCCAATTTAAAGAACACTTAAGATCCCAATTTATCACTGGTTAAAAGATATAAATTATTCATTAAAAATAAACAAAACTTGCTAATAAACATATTCATCTTTAATCTCCATAGCAAAAAAAGAAGTAAAAAATATAATAGGAAAAAATCTGTTACTCCTAATGTACTAATTACATCTCCTCCCTCCCACATGTACAAAGAACAGTTTGAACTTCAATTCTGATTAGGCTAGTGTTTATTTATGGATGAAATGCAAAAACTTCTTCCAAAAATATACTATACAGTAATATGAAGGGGTGATAAAATGATATACATTATTGCAATTTGGTTTTATTCATACCTCCCTCTGAAAAAATAAATCCATTTTATTTCCTATATTGCTATAATGCAGATTTTGAAAGCCATATTTACAATAAATTTTCTACAATTTGAACTAATTTTTCTGGAGATTATTGATAAATCTCTCTTATGTTAACTGGGAAATTGTAAATATAGGGTGTCCCCAAAAAATGTATACATACATGAATAATTATAAAGGCAGTGTTTATTAAAATACATTTCATTTTCAAAATTGAGCTATCAGCTGCTAAAGTGTATATATTTGGCGGAGAGGGGAAAGAGAGAGTAGCCTGTATATATTAACACTTTCTTTATAGACAGTCACTCTGGTGGTTGTGGATACACACAGAGAGAAACCCAAACATGTTAGATTCTATATAACAAGTTAATTTAATTCCTTTACAGCAGTTTCTATGTCCTGTGCATCATTATAGGATGTTTAGCAGCATCTCCCTGGTTTCTACCCCAATATCAATGGTATGCCCCTAATTATGATAACCCAAAATGTCTCCAGACACTGCTAAATGTCCCCTGGCATCAAAACTGCCCCAGGTGAGACCACTGCTTTAGAGAAACTTTTGTGAGAATGGCCAAACTGTCACTTAGATTATATTAAAAATAAAAATAAAAATAAAAAAATCTGCCCCAAGACAATTCTATTGATTATCTAAGAAAATAACTTCAAAAAACCACTTTATGTATTATAAGGAAATGATTACCTGATCTGATGAGAACACTAGAGGTCTCCTCATTCTATACTCCAGCCCACCTCTACCATCTAAACTTACTGCATGCTTCAAGGTCTCTCTGTAATAGTTCTAACTTTTACATGCAACCTTGGCTTGAACATTTCTGTGGATAAAGAATACAATTTCCTCCACCAGAAAGCTCTACTTACTAAAAACAAAACAAACACTCTTCTTTATACCAACTTAAAACTCTATCCCCTGAAGGTGTATCTCTATGGTTCTAGTTAATTTATACATCTCAATTCATACTTTCCTGATATTTATCATTATTTCCTCTTAGTCTCTGAAAGAGTGTAAGAGAGGAATCAGGTGGAACTTTGAAAAGCCAGCAATTCTCACATTAAATAGATAAAGCTACAGGATGCACATTCAATGATTTAAAAATATAACTGATTGAATTCAATAAGTTTGTGTTTAATAAAATTTCAAGTAATGCCCTGGCCAGGTGCCTCAGTTGGTTGGAATGTCATCCTGTCACCTAAAGGTTGAGGATTTGATTCCTAGTCAGGGCATACCTAGGTTGCAGGTTTGGTCCCATCGGGATTGGGGCCCATTCGGGAGGCAACCAATCATTGTTTCTCTCACACATCAATGTTTCTCTCTCTCTCACCCTCTTGTGTCTATCTCCTCCCCCCTTCCTCTCTCTAAAAATCAATAAACATATCCTCAGATGAAGATTTTTTTTTTAATTTAAAGAACTTTAAAAATAATTTTTATTAAATAGTTAAAGCAAAGTACATGACAAAATATTTTTCACCTTGCCCTGGCCAGTGTGGTTCAGTTGGTTGGGCATCATCTGGTGCACCAGGAGGTTGCCGGTTCCATTCCCGGTCAAGAGTACATGCCTGGGCTGCGAGCTCAATCCCTGGTGGGGGTATGCAGGAGGTATCTGATCAATGTTGCACTCTCACATCAAAATTTCTCTCTCCCCCTCTCCCTTCCTCTCTCTCTAAAAATTAATAAACTATTCTTTAAATAAAAAATAAGTCACTCTTAAAAAAAAAATATATATATATATATATATATGCATACATATATATACACATATACATACATACATACATACACAGGGTGTCCCCAAAATTGTATATACACTTCAATAGCTGATTTCTATTACATTTTGAAAATGAAATGTATTTTAATAAATATTGCCTTTGTAATTATTCAAAGTATGTACATTTTAGGGAGACACCTATATATATTTTTTTACTTTATGTGCCAGAAAAGATCATCTGACATATCAGAAAAAGATATTTAAAAGATTACTAAATAATAAGTATATGATACCATTCAATAGAATAAATTGCTAGTTTGTAAGAACTTCAATGTACTAAATATCACTTTAAAGTTTGAAGAAATAAAACAGCTCACCCTCAATAACTAAAGAGATAATTTTACCAAACATTCTGGTTACAAGATGAACCAGATAATATTTTCAACTCAAAAATGTTTTGTGATTGTGGCCAACAATATGCCAGTCTTACATTTAAATGAACTTGGGCAAAGGATATTTTCTAATTGTCCTCAATCAGGATTATGTTACCTTCTAGTGACTTCTTTTTTTCAATCCTCTCTTTTCTCTTATAAAGAACCTTAAATATTCACCATCATATACTATTCACATATATCAGAAATTATGAATTTGTGTATAATGAGTAATTTTTTAATTCTCATAAAAACGCCAAAATAACTTTTTTAATAAATGTATTGTCATTTGATATAAGCTAATATCCAATTTGGGGTACATAATTTTATCTACAGTCACGTGAGAAAAAAACCTGCTATGTAACTAAGGCTGAGTTATACTTACACAATGGTTTACATTTATAATCTAGTTTGGGAGAGGGTAAAAAAAAAGTTGAATTCTGTCAAGAGCTAATCTAAATTTAATTTTCCTAAAGGATTTATTAAGTAAAATAAGTAGTTAACTACAACTTTATAATAAACCCAGTTGAAAAGTATCAACCTTTTTTAAGAGGATCCTCCCATCCTAAATAGGCATTTGCACTTCACTTTTGAAAGAAAAAAAACAGTTTTAGTCAATATACAGTGATATTTTCTTTAGTGACTTGTGAGAATGATGTATGTAAATTTAATAGAAAATGAAAGATAGCGTGAAAGAACTAAAGACATTCCAATGCTACCAGGATGACACACTTCATTACAAACAAATTCTTCACTCATTCATTCATTCATTCATTCAATATTTATTTATTGAGGGATTGCTATATGTATAAAGCAAAAAATTAAAACAAAATAATACTATATGCTTTCTGTATCAAAACAACACTGTCAGTAATAAATATAAAAGACAAAAAAAAAAAAAAAAAAAAAAAAAGCAAATTGAATTTATTTTGGATGACTGCAGCAAAACACACCGGGTAAAAGACTCCTTACTTCTATTTCTGCAGATTCCACCCGGTTTTCAATTATTTCGATACATTGTCTCTTAGTTGGTGGTTCTTCACTTATAACAGTTTCTTCTGCAATGTCCGTTGCTGGTACTGTTAATACTAAAATGAAAAAAATGTATAAGTTATTTAATTTTCAGTTAGATTTAGTTGAAATAAAACTAGTCAACATTGTTGATGCAACTCATCTAAAATAAATTATATTCTAAAACAATTTCAAAACACTGATTTGCTTTTGAGGATGTCCCTATTTGTCTTCATCTTCTTACTTTACTGCAAGTCTCTCCTTGTTTAAGCACCTACTTATTTTTATAAAATTTTATATATAAGTGTTAACCAGTTTGGCTCAGTGGATAGTGTCGGCCTGCAGACCAAAGGGTTGCAGGTTTGATTCTAGTCAAGGTCACATACTTCAGTTGCAGGCTCCTCCCAAGCCAGGCCTTGGACAGGAAGCATGTAGGAGACAACCAACCAATGTATTTCTCTCTGTCTTTCCCTCTCTTTTCCACTCTCTAAATATTAATGGGGAAATGTTCTTGGGTGAGGATTAAAGAAATTTATTTCATATATAATATGTTCTTTCACATGGCTCAAATTCAAAACAATATTTTTTAAAATATATTTTATTGGTTTTTTACAGAGAGGAAGGGAGAAGGGTAGAGAGTTAGAAACATCGATGAGAGAAAAACATCAATCAGCTACCTCCTGCAAACCCCCAGCTGGGGATGTCCTCGCAACCAAGGTATATGCCCTTGACCGGAATCAAACCTGGGACCCTTCAGTCTGTAGGTTGACGTTCTATCCACTGAGCCAAACCATTTAGGGCTCAAAACAATATTTGACAAGCATATTTTGAGAGCTCTCATTCCATTCCTAAAATAGATAATCATTTATTGGTGTCTCATGTACTATTCTTGTTAATTTATGTAAAAACAAACATGAATATACATTCTTTTTTTGTTACACAAAAGGTATCAAATAAAACATACATTCAATTTTTCATACAACAGATACATCATCTGCAGTTGCTTTCTTCACTGCACATATATAAGGTGTCTTTCATCTGTATATATGAAAGCCAAAGTGACTGGTCAACCGGACGACTAGACAACTGGCCAGTAGCTATGATGTGCATTGACCACCAGAGGGCAGAAGCTCAATGCAGGAGCTACCCCCTAATGGTCAGTGCGCTCCCACAGCAGGAGTGCCGATCAGCTGACTACCAGGCTCATAGGTGGCAAGTGCAGCTGCAGGGATGAGAGCCTCTTTCACTGCTGCTGCAGCTACAGGTGCAGCATGGCAGGGATGAGCGGGAGCATCACCATGGCAGCCGTTTCACGCATTACTATATCTCTTGGGGGAAACCAGCAATCTGAGATCCCCTGAGTGGTCCCAGATTGCAAGAGGGTGCATGCCAGGCTAACGGACTGCACGAGTGCAGAAATCCGTGCAACGGGCCCTTAGTCTTTACATAAGATCTTTCTTTTATTTAGTTGCAGTATAATGTATGGATAAACCATTATGAACGTTGTCTGTTTATACACTTTGCTTGTTTCTCTACTAGTTTGTTGGATTTTGTTCCAATTTTTAGTATCTTTATATAAATGTAAATTATATATGATTTCTATAGTTAGGACTATAGAAATGGATGTGCACACTGAAGCCCTGCAAAACAATGGGGAAAATTAAAATTGTTCCATAGACTTAAATGTTTTGTGTGTGTTCTTTTGTCAAAACATTAAAATCTGTCATTTATAAATATAAACACAAATGAAAAAAGTAAAACTAATATGTAGTGTAATGTAATTTAAAACATTAGAAATGAGGAAGTTTTATTTAACTCATATTGTTACACTTACAAATTAACTCAAGAATTTGAAAACCTTGTACAATATTTGTTTCTTGGAACTGTCTACATAGTATATATGCTCAAATGTCAGTTACACATTTTAAAATTATGGAATCTTTAAAAGTTTATTTTAATATTCAGTAGGTTCCTCTTATTGTTATTCTTTTTCAGAGTTTTCTTTCTTTTTCTTCTTCCCTCCTCCCCTATCACTATAAACTTAGAATCTGTTTAGCTACTTGCAGAAAGAAACCTCTTGGTTTTTGTTGTGGGCTGAATTGTGTCCCCTCAAAGTTCAAATGTTTAAGTCCTTACCCTCAGCACTTCAGAATGTGACTGTATTTGGAGATAGGGACTTTAAAGAGGTGAATATGGTCAAAAATAGGGTCATTTTGGAGTATCCTAATCCAATATGACTGGGGTTATACGAAGCAATTACCAGGACACAGACAATACACACATATGAGGGACAACCATGTGGGGACACAGCAAGAAGGCAGCCACCTGCAAGCCACAGAGGTCTCAGAAGAAACTAAAATTGCCAACATCTTTACCTAGGATTTCACACTTCCAGCATCCTGAGAATACAAAAAGCTGTTCAAGTCACCCATTCTATAGTATTTTGTTATAACAGCAAATTAATAGTCTTTTTTAAATATCACACTACAGGGGAAGAACCAAGATGGCGGCATAAGTAAACAGTTGAACTTGCTGTCTCGCACAACCACATTAAAACTACAACTAAAAGAAAAAATGAATATCATCCAGAATCATGGGAAAGCTGGCTGAGTGGAAGTTCTATAACAAGAAGGAAAGAGAATAGCATATCTAGACTGGAAGGAGGTACAAAGGTATGGAAGAGGGAAGGGATGGAAGTGCATGCGGAAACGAGCTAGTAACTGAGTACACTGAGGTCTTTTTCAATCGGGAGAGATACAAACCCCCAACTGCTCTGAATTCCAGTTCCGAGTGAGACTCTGGGGACCCAGACTCATAGGGTGAGAAAGTGGACTGTCTGGCATCAGGACAGGAACATGAGGGCAGCTTTCTCTCAGAGGTGGTCGCAGCGTACATTGTTCCTGCACAGGGCTGCGTGACACAGAGACCCAGGGACCTATCTGGGGCAGGGAAAATGGGCAACCATTGCTATTTGCACTGCCCTGTAATTCCCTGAGACTATGCCCCACCTAATTTATAACCCCACCCAAGATTGTGCAGAGGGTTTGCATATGAATGGACTGGCCTTTTGCAACCTAACTTAACAAACAGCAGCTAGTCAAAGATCCCCAGAGCTTCCAAAAGAAGGCCTAAGGCTCATCAGCAGCCTGAATTGCTTCACAGCTGTGCCCCATCTGGGCACCTCCAAACCCCAAACTAAGAGGAGGAATTTGCAGATCTCTGGGTGGCCTTGGGCAATGGTTAACTTTGTACCTCCTTGGAGATCCAAGAGCCATTGTACGAAGTCATCAGTGTGAGACCATACCAGATTACAACTCTTCAGATCCATGAGACACACTCAGGGGGCAGACTCAGTGAGCACCAAAGCTCCACTGAAGCAAGTCTTGCCCCATAAGGGTGTCTCCAGCACCAAAGTTCTCCCAGTGTAGACATAACTGATCCTCACAGCCAATTGGTCTGGAGGCCAATTCTAACCAGTGATACCAACAGCAATGAAGGCTTAACTACAATAAGACTGTGCACATAGCCCACAAAAGGTACACCAAAAGCATACACCTCAGGTAACTGGGGAGGCTGAGCCACTGGACCCTATAGGACACCTAGCACACAAAGCTACTCTATCAACTCAGGGAAGCAGCCAAAATGTGGAGACAAAAAGACAGGTCACAAATGAAAGAAATGGAGGAAAGCAAACTACTAGATATAGAGTTCAAAATCACGGTTATAAGGTTACTCAAAAATCTTCTTGAAACCTCTGAGAAATTTAGTGAGAACCTTGAGGAAATGAAAAGGGACCAATTAAAAATTAAGCATACACTGACTAAAATAAAGAATAATAAACAGAGATCCAATAGCAGACTAGAGGATCACAAGAATCAAGTCAATGATTTGAAATAGGAAGAGGCAAAAAACACCCAACCAGAAAAGCAAAAAGAAAAATTAATCCAAAAATATGAAGATAGTGTAAGGAGCCTCTGGGAGAACTTCAAGCATACCAACATCTGAAATAAGGGGAAGCCAAAAGAAGAGAGAGCAAGATACTGAAAACCTATTTGAAAACTTCCCCTACCTGATGAAAGAAATAGACTTACAAGTCCAGCAAGTGCAGAGAACCCCAAACATGATGAATCTAAAGAGGACCACACCAAGACAACATCATTAACTAAAATGCCAAGGGCAAAAGACAAAGAGAAAATATTAAAAGCAGCAAGAGAAAAACAGTTAGTTGCCTACAAGGGAGTACCCATAGGATTGTAGCTGATTTCTCAACAGAAACTATGCAGGCCAGACGGGAGTGGCAAGAAATATTCAAGTGATGAATACTAAGAACCTACAACCAAGATTACTCTACTCAGCAAAGCTATCATTTAGAATTGAATGTCAGATAAAGAGCTTCACAGATAAGAACAAACTAAAGGAGTTCATCACCACCAAACCAGGATTACATAAAAAGCTGAAAGGTATTCTTTAAGAAGAGGAAGAAGAAGAAAAAGGTAAAGATCAAAATTATGAAAAACAAAGTGACAACAAATACATATCTATCAACAAGTGAATCTAAAAATCAAGTAAAGCTGAAACCAGTTTGGCTTAATGGATAGAGCGTTGGCTTGGGGACTGAAAGGTCCCAAGTTCGATTCCGGTCAAGGGCATGTACCTTGGTTGCGGGAATATCCCCAGTGGGGTTGTGCAGGAGGCAGCTGATCGATGACTCTCATCGATGTTTCTAGCTCTCTATCTCTCTCCCTTTCTCTCTGTACAAAATCAATAAAATATATATATATTTTTTTAAATTGTTTAAAAAATAAAATAAAAATCAAGTGAATAAAAAATATGACGAACACGCCGAGACCGGTTTGGCTCAATGGATAGAGCGTCAGCTTGGGGACTGAAGGGTCCGGGTTCGATTCCGGTCAAGGGCATGTACCTTGGTTGCGGGCATATCCCCAGTTGGGGGTGTGCAAGAGGCAGCTGATCGATGACTCTCTCTCATCGATGTTTCTGGCTCTCTATCTCTCTCCCTTCCTCTCTATACAAAATCAATAAAATATATTTTAAAAAATACATATGACGAACCGAATAAACTGGTGAATATAATAGAATCAGGGGCATAGAAAGGGAGTTACTGACAATTCTTGGAGGGGGTTCGGGAGAAGGGGGTGTGGGGGTGCAGGAAAGACTGGATAAAAATTGAGCACCTATAGACAAGGACAATGTGGGGAGTAAGGGCATGGGGTGGGGTAGGAACCCGGTGGAGGGGAGTTATGGGGAGAAAAAAGAGGAACTGTAATAATCTGAATAAAGACTTATTTTTAAAAATTAAATTAAATTAAAAAATTAAAATTAAAAAATATGTATCACACTACACTTACAAGTCAAGTCAGGAAAAAATTGAGAGCTTCTTGATAGTGAGTCTTCCGATTTGAAACTGAGTTTTTTTTCCATTTGTTCATCAGTGAGACTTGTCTGTATAAATGTTAGGTTTGGGAAACAAAGCTGTATCTGCTTAATACAGATACTTTGAAAGCTTTCTTCTTTTCTGGATAATTGGATTAGTTCTTTAAGGCTTTGTGAAATCACCTGGGCCTGAAGAGCTCTTAGACCAGCTATCAGCAGGTGATTTCTACAGAACAGGAGAAAGGCCTCTCAGGCTTCACAGGTCAAGGTCTCCTGTTGTCCTGCTAAGTGACAAACTCCTTCCTAAGTGTCATACCTCCTCTCCTGCTAAACCAAACGCCCTTTAGGAGAACTTCTACCTCCAGCCTTTCCCTTCTGTAATTCCTTCACTGGCCATGAAGAGGCATGATCTCTGCAATCCTACTCATTTTCTAAAAGTATGTGTGTGCACATATTTTTTGTTGAGGGACTGGGTGCAGGTGATGCTTTCTAAGCGAGGAACTTGCTGCCCCTTCTCTTTCTGCTTCCTCCACTATTCCATCCGATTCTATCTATCTTAGTCCTGCTGGCTGCACTGAACTGCACTGCCTATTCAGTCTGGGTCCTGTCTTGCTGGGAGTGTGTACTTATTGCTGATTTCTGAACTCAACCCTTTTCTTTTCTTGAAGCACCATTGTAGGTTTTCATGACTTCTCTTGCCCTGACTGTAATGTTCTTAGATATTTTTGGCAGCGCTTAAAATGTGCAATTCTGTGTTTTTTTTCAACCTTTTAGATTCACTAAAAACATAGTTGGGGCTTCTACTTCATCTATCTTATTGCTCTCTGTGGTTCCCGAGGGGAAAAAAATGGAAAAACTGTCAACAAAGCTGCTAAAAGTTGCTACCACATAGCTATTACAGTCTTAAGTCTAACTTTTTATTTTAGGTAGCTTTTCCTTACATGGTATTTTTAAAAGCTCACATGATATCTGAATTGCATTAAATGGACTAAAAAATTATCATCCAATGCTGATTTTGAATTATTTATTTAAGCTTATTTTCAAGCAGAATACTTTGGGGCCAATTCTTCTTTCCTCCTGGTATATACTCTGATAAAGCAAGCTAACTTTAATATTAGCCTAAGCCAGTGTTTCCCAAAGTGTGGTACGGGTACCCCCAGGGGTACAGGAAGAGTTTAGTGGGGGTTCGAGTTGCACCAGAGTTTGGTGGGGATATGCACTGCACCGTGCTTAGCTGCGCCTAATTCTACGTTCTCATGAGTACGAGGGGTACTCAGCGTTACGAAAATTACAGAAGGGGTACACATATGTCAAGTTTGGGAAACATGGCCTAAGCAAATAAAGTGAGGCAACTAAATCTGTTGCAAAGGGTTACAAAAACATAACTTAAGGCAAACTGAGAATAAACAGCAACTTTATGGAAATGCCTACTACTCACCTTGCTGTCCATCTGGCATGGTCACAATGATGGGCTGGCCTATTCCACTGGTTGGAATGGAGTGCAAATTTCCAAGCTGGATTCCATCCGTTACTATTGTGATGACTTGCTGACCCCCTGAACTAACTACTTGCTGAATTGCACCATCCACTGATTCTGCAGTAACTACTTCCTCCGTAGCCACTACTGGGGGAAAAATATAAATGTGAAAATCAGTGAACATATATAAAAATAAAAACAGAAGTTTCTTTTTGCTTTAGTACCTTTGCCTTCCCTGCTTCCTTCTTACACAGAAAAGCTTGAACATGATTTTAAACTTTATACATATCTATGTAAACATTAAGTGCTATACATATCTAGTATGTAAACATTATGACTACAACTCCCACAATTTACAATAAGTGAGTTCCAACTATTCATGCATGTGTGTTTAAATAAGCAATTCCTCTTCATTTAGTTATATGAGGTACCAAATTTGTAAGGTCTCCTAAAGTCACAGATACAACAAATGATACACCTGCTTAATAAAATTCCATAATCCAAAAGATGATTTTATATGTGGTTATACTCCATTTACATTTAGTATACTCCATTACATATACTACATTTACATTTACAGTTGATAAACATTTCAATATCTAATGAAACATGAAAATTTGTATTTTCAAGTAGCCAGACTAAATAGTATTCCCTTTTTGGATTATGTGAACAGGGTTTGCCTTGATAAGTGGCATGCATGTCTAGTATCATATGAATATATTATATTTAACTAACATGTAATATATTAAGCACAATATATTATATCACAGTAATATACTATGATCTGCTATAACAATATATTAATATAGAACACTTAATAAGAATAAAAATTATCAATGTAACATATATATATATATATATATATATATATATATATATATATCATTGCACATCCTAAAGGATGCTAAAACCATTGGTGAAATGTTTTGAGGAAACAAGATATTTAAATGTTCCCAAGGTATCACACCAAAGATTAGCATTCCTTAGAAAAAGGGAACTATAAAGGTTGCCACTCTCACCAGGCGGTCATTATCAGGACAGCCTGACATTATGTGCCTCCTGATGTGATGCAATGTGAGATTACAAAATATCACTGTGTTCTTCCCAGAAATGTTTGGCTTGAATCTAATTATTAAGAAATAAATGAATCCAGAATGTGGGTGATCCTACAGACAACTGGCTTAGACTACAAAGATTTCAATGTCATAAAGAACAACAAAGACAATAGAATAACCCTAGATTGGAGGAGACTAAAGAACAATAAGCAAATACAATGTGTGAACTTTAATTGTACCCTGAATAAAAAACAGCTTAACGGACATCTTGGGGATAATTAAAGAAACTTGAACTATGGACCATATGTCAGTAATGTCACTGAATTAACATGATGCTTTTAGGAAATATAATGGAGGTGTGAGTAGTAAAAGGATGCCCTTATTCTTGAGAAATACATGCTGAAGTATTAAAGAATGAAGTGTCAAGAAGTCTGCAGCCTACGTGGCAAAATAAAATAATTTGGGTCAAATTCTTAAAACTTTGGTGGTAGGAATGAACATGCAGATGTGGCCAGATGTTAATAGCTGTGAATATAGGTGAAAGGTATAAAGTTCATCCTCCAATTTTTCTATGGGTTTGAAAACTGTCAATATAAAAAATGTTTAATATAACTATTTCTGAAAAATGGAAAAACTGTCAACAAAGCTGCTAAAAAAAGTGACATAAGAACTATTTCTAAATTATATGGGGTTTTTAATAAGTTATCTGAGGCCACTTTTTACCAAAAGTATAATTTTTTTTAAAAAGCATTCTCTCCTCAAGTGCTACTATTCAGATACACAGTTGCTCAGAAACATGCTAAGTTGCTACCAATTCCCAGGAGAACATCATGTATATCAATTACCACAAGATTTACTGAAGACAGAGGCCCTACATATGTACTAGTATACTACATTTTTTTTTAAAGGCAGGGGAGTACTGGGACCCTACTTTCTAAGGATGCACACATGGCAGCCAGGCCTGGCTGCAACTCTGTTCTTTATTTTATAATCAAGGGTTACAATACAAACTGCAGAAGATAATACTCAAAATGCAAAGAGCCTTTGTGTTTTTGAGTTCTCTCATTTTTTGTTTGTCTTAAACTATAATTAGGCTTTATCACCAAGCACTTAAAAAATTTTCAGGAAGATAATTATAAAATGAAATGTAGGACATAAAATAGTAATATATTCAATAGAACTACTACTCAGGTTTTCAAACACATAGACTATTGCTTTGATTTTTTAGAGAAAATATCCATATGAAAAAGAAATGTTCACTCAGGTTGAATGCTAACTACAATTAGTGACTATTTCCAAGCATTATCATCTGTAAGAAATTTCTGAGATCACACACAATCAAGGCACAACTCCAGAACTTTCATCTTTGCACTATCTGCAATGACTGTCATTAAAATAATAAAGAGTTCTTGCCTTTCATCTAAAAGCTTTCTTTTTAAGATGTGCTACGGTAAGGAATTTAAGAAAAAATAAGGAAACCAATTACATCAGAAGACAATGGGATCCCAAGAAATCCTAAGAACGTAGCATAGAATACATGCTCAGGTACCTTAAAAAATGGGCTGGCCAAAGATAGAGAAATCAGCAGTCACAAGTTAATCCCTTTAATTTTATGCACAGGAAAGTACACTATGAGAACACTTCAAATATATATATGTTTCAGGGATATGCTTGTTTTTTCCAAAATTAGTGAAATGAGAGCATAAGGGGGATAAAACAATGTATACTTTAACAGAACCTCTGCAAATCTTGACAGTCAAAAGAAATGTTCAATTGTGCTTAAATACATAGAAGCTATACATTATATTCAGATGCTAAATCTTTTAACTAGCTAGGTACCTACCACAATAAATCAAATAAAGCAAAATACTAAAGAGAAAAAAGGAGCCAAAACTAGACTGCAAATTAGATTACTAATATGATACTGGAAGATGAAATATTAGTAAAAATAAAAGTATAATTCATAAAATTATCAAGGTGAACAATGGAAGTTTCGAGCAAATATAGCAGATAACTACTTAACTTAGAGTTAACTAAAAGATAAGCATTCCCTCAGTTTAAGTAACTACATTTAGTTACCATCTTAGATAAAATATGAACAACAAATATATATCAACACGTGAATCTAAAAATCAAGTGAATAAAAAATCTGATGAACAGAATAAACTGGTGAATATAATAAAATCAGGGGCATAGAAAGGTAGTGGACTGACAATTTTCAGGGGACAAGGGGTGTGGGGGGTGTGGGAAGAGACTGGACTAAAATCGTACACCTATGGATGAGGACAGCGTGGGGGAAGGGGGAAGGGCAGAGGGTGGGATGGGAACCAGGTGGAGGGGAGCTATGGGGGAAGAAAGAGGAACAAATGTAATAATCTGAACAATAAAGATTGTTTAAAAATAAAACATAAATAAATAAAATCCAGATTTTCAGCTCCCCATGAAAGAGCAGGATCTGGCAACACTGAGCATAAGATTAGAAATAGCTGTAGCTGAGAAGCTGAGGCCTCCCTGCCCTGCCTTACTCCTTTTATATGACACTAGAGGCCTGATACACGGAATTCATGAATGAGTAGGGTCCCTAGCCCTGCCCGACAATCAGGGCTGATATGTGAGGTGACTGGCTGGGCGGTCAGGGGAGCCCCCTGCTACTGTCCTATTGCCCTTACCATATCAGATGAAACAAAGAAGAAAAAGCCCTCTGTCTCTGGGTTCCAGTGATTGCTGTCTCCTTATGTCTCTTCAAAACCTCAGGATAGCAATGCACATTGCTATTATTAGCCAAGGGGTAACTACACTACATCTTTCCCTACTCCCTACTAGCACCTTCTAGCACCTTGGCTGGTCTGGGGCCTGAGGGTTGGGGGCAGCTCCTGAATTGAGCATCTGCTCCCTGGAGGTTAGTGTGTGTCATAGCGACCAGTCATTCCGCCGTTCCGTCTATTTGCATATTAGGCTTTTATTATATAGGACTTGAGGCCGGTGCACAAAATTCGTGCATTGGGGAAGGGGGGGGCAGTAGAGGTTCCCCTCAGCCCAGGCTGCACCCTCTCCAAATGGGGACCCCTTGGGATCAGGCCTAAACCGGTGGTTGGACATTCCCCTTGCAATCTGGGACTGCTGGCTCACTTGCCTGACTGATTGCCCCTAACCCTTCTGCCTGGCTGTCTGATCAGCCCTAACTTTTCTGCCTGACTGCCTGATTGCTCCTAATTGCCCTCCCCTGCAGGCCTGATCTCGCCTTCCAACTGCCCTCCCCCACCAGCTTGATCTTGCCCCCAACTGCCCTCCCTGGCCTGACCTCACCCCCAACTGTCCTCCCCTGCCGGCCTGATCTCACCCCTAACTGCCCCCCCCCCCCCCCGCTAGCCTGATCATCCTTAACAGCCTCTGCCTCGACTCCCACCACCATGGCTTTGTCCAGAAAGAAGTCAGTCATCCAGAAGATGCTGGTTGACTGGCCTAATTAGCATATTACCCTTTTATAGTATAGATAGATTATATAGGATAGAATTGCTTAAATGGGAGGGAAAGCCTTTTTCATCAAGAAGAGATGCTCTTGGCAGACAAAAATACATAATCCCTATATCTGGACTAATAGCCAGCCATATGCACTATACTGCCGGTCATTAAAAAAATGAACTGCTTTCTTACTGCTTATACCAAACAGCTGTTGCCCTTAAAACCCTTCCCCAGCCCTCACTTTAGGTTCTGTCTTCGTAGTTCACCCAGATTAGGTTCTGAATGGTTGCTTTCTATGCCAGTCAATGTCAAAAGCTCCACCTCCTAGGCAGCCCTTAGTTCCTTCACTTCACCCAGATTAGGTTATGATTGGTCAGTTTCTATGTCAGTCAGCATCTCCAGGCCTATCAACGGGCCTGATCAGAGAGGCGGGGTTGATCAGCAGCCCCAGGGGAGGCCCAAAAGAGAGTTGCAACTGCCGGCCAGGCCCCAAGAGAAAGAGAGCGGCAAGGGCTGATCAAGAGCTCCCATGGAGGCTACAGATCAGACCCTGCTTCTCGCTCCAGACCTCTCTTCAGGCCTGATCTGCAGCCACCTTGGCAGTTAGCACTGACTGCTGGGAAGTAGAGCCTTCGGTCGTTTTGGATGTTACGGACCCTGGGTTTTTATATATTAGGATTCTTGGCCTTTGTGAATATTTGAATCTCTAACTTTCAATGTACACATGTGACTTGTTTTTCTAACCTGGAGTTTCTGAAGAGTTGGACAAGGGAGCAGATGCTTCAGCTAAGGCAGCTAATGTAGCTAATACTGATGTAGAGGAGTTTCCAAACTGAACAGCAGACACCCCTGTTTCATCTGTAAGAAAAGAAAAAATAGAGTTTAATTTTTAAGGAGCTTTAATCTGATATTCTGTTTCACCTCATTCAACTCTTAAATGAAGCCTGAATAATATTAGTTTTGTGATAAACAAGCTTGGATAGCATTAGTTCTGAAAGATAATACTGCAGTATGTTTTGCAATATCACCTTTCTTTAAATTACTTTCTCATAAAAATTTGGGTGTTTTTTCAATTATACCAAAGAAAACCAAGGTTTTTCTTACCCTCATTCTCCAACTGTCCTTTCTTAAAAGGATGGATACCTACTAAGGCTTAAAATCCCAATAGCTATCCTAATGCATCTCAATACCTGTTGCCTTGGATGAATTTTCTGAAGATACCAGACCTGTTAGGTTCACCACCCCTCCAGGTCCAATGATAAACTGTGGTGTTGCAGCATGTATCGTCACAGTGTCGGGACTCTCTGGGTTTGTGTTGATTTGATTCTGCATAGCAATCTGGGGGACAAATCACCACAATATTTCAGAATTATAACCAGAACATATAGCACAGGCTTTCAACATAGTACAAACAGAAATATAAAAGAACATTCTGTAATTTAAGAAGAGTCATATAATATAAATGGGTATCTTTTTTATGGACTACTAAGAATATAGAGGTAAACCAAAAGTATGAATTTATATTCTAAGTTCCCATGAGCTAAAGCAGCAAAATCCAATGACAGGAGAAATGGATATCTGAAAGGCTTTTATAGAACACAGCTGAAAGATATGCAGCCCTGTGGCTTCAGAAATTAAATTATTTAAATTAAATTATTTCCTCTGCTATATTCAGCAATCTATAACATGACATATATAAAGCATGTCCTTCCCAATTGTTCTACATCTTCAACCTAACCCCCAAACTGCACTCCTAGGAAGAGGCCTGGCAAAGTTCATTTTTCTGAATATATCCTTTAAGTGACTAGCTGAAGTCTAATAGAGTCAGATGGTCTTAGAGAAAGAGTTTTATTGGAAAGGATAACAAGAAGACATGCAAGAAGAGGCAGTAAGAAGATAATTTACATCAATGTTGTCTAGCTGAAGAACAGAAATGTTGGTTATTAGAAAAACTTGACCAAAAGCCAAAAATAACCATGCTCACAGATTTTTCTGAGGATGGTGAGAAATGAAAGAAACCACTCAGAATGATAAAGACTGTATCACTCACTCAAGGGATATTATGGCTGCAAACAAAAAAATTTTTTTGTGAAATATAACAGACTTTGAAACACCATATGGTAGCCAAAACCGTATGGTATGCAACAAAAAGAATAGAATAAAATGTGTAGGAGAATTTAGGAACTTAACACAGAAAGTAACATCTTATCTAATCTTCTAATGTTACATGCAAAGACTACAGTCCTACAATCAGGAAAATGAAGAGTAAAGAACGAAAAGCAAAAGAAAAGGCCTGTCCAAAATAACTGAGTCCAAAATGAAAAGCTACAAACTGACTAGTTCAAATCATCCATAAAACAGAGATCTTTTATTTATTTTCTTAAAAGGAAAAGTTACCTGTAATATCTCTGCTAAATCTTCATTCCCATTGTCTACTGAAATATCAAATGCAGTTTTACAAAATTTACTCTGCGTGTGTACATCAGCACCATACTTGATTAAGAGCTCCACCACATCTTGATGGTTGTGTTCTGTGGCCCAATGTAGAGCTGTCATCTTTAACATGTCCTTTGCATTGACATCAGCACCATGCTACAAAAATATTCCAAAATAAGAGATTTCTAAAATATGAAATACTTGCTGAAATGAAAATTCTACACATGACACTTTAAAAAAATTTGCTACTAACATGATCAACCATTTTTTGTGTGTTGAATAATCTATATGCTCCAGGATCACCACACATCTGTCACTTAATCGATTTTCTATCATGATGACTTTCCTAATTGCTTTCCTTCTAATTTCTTAGGAGAGCAGCACTGATTTTTTCAGTCACCCAGTTGTGAGCATGAAGGGCTAGAACAGAATAAGAAGTGAAGGGAAACTATGAGCATTCCTCCCAAACCCTATTTTTAACTCTAGTTCCTTATTTACACAAAAATATCCTTTGCTTTCAAAACCAGTGTAATATAAAGAAATTAAGGGGAGCCAACTAGAGGTACACTGTCCATTATGGTAGCCACAAGACATATGTGACTAAGCATTTGAAATACAGCTAGTCCGAATACAGAAGTCCTGTAATTGTAAATATACACTGAATTCAAAGACTAAACAGCAAAATAAGGTTGTAAAATAAGCAACATAATAAGGTTTATATTGATTTCATGTAGAAATAATAATATTTTGTATATGTTAAGTAAAATATAATATTTAAATTGCTTTTTACTTTTATAAAATAGAAAATCTATAATTATAATACATACGATTTGCATTTGTAGCTTACATTGTATTTCTTTTGGACAGGCTGATCTAGAGCAGAGATTTTCAACCTTTTTCATTTCACAGCATATATAAAATACTAAAGTGATACAACACATCAAAAAATATATTTTTTGCTGATCTGACATAAAATAAGTATAATTTTGTTTGATTTACAAAAAAAATTAATAAATAATAGTAATTACCTACCCTTTTTGCTCCAAAGTGACTTTTTAAAAAGTTAAGTGCCTATCTCTCTATATATAAAAGCCTAAGCAACCAAAGGGCGCCAGCTTCCAGGCTCAGGGCTGGCAAGCACAGCTGACAGCAGCAGGCGCAGTGGGACTAGATTGAGCGGAGGCAGCGTGGCACCCAGCCTGAGCTCAGGCTCCTCCCTAGCCATCTGCCACTTTGCACACTATTACATCCCCCAAAGGGTCCCGGATTGCAAGAGGGTGCAGGCCAGACTGAGGGACCCCACTGGTGCACAAATCCATGCCCCGGGCCTCTAGTATAATACTTACATATAAGGATTTCAGATACCAAGATTTAACCAATCAGGAACAACTTTATTTTGAGACAAGACCAATAACATTGGTCATTTTTTTATTTGAAATCTAAGTAAAAATAAGTCAGACTCCTGTCTAAATAGGTATTGCATGTTTTAAAAATTCTTGTAGCACATCAGTTGAAAATGCTGATCTAGAGGCCAGAATAAAAAGGATTAAGAATACCTAAATCTATCATTCTGTTTCAGAATTTTCTTTTTGGCATTTAAGTGATTAAAGAAAAATCACCATTTGCATTATTTGTTTATTTTTAAATTATCTAAGCCTAATATTTCTTTTCCATGAGCATTTTAACTGTGTTAAGACAAAACTATAGGCCTTCACCATGGCAGACATCAAAGTTTAAGAAATCAATTGTTTGACTTAACTAAGAATATATCTAGAATAATTGTTTTAATCCCCTCACAAAAGAAAACCTTAAGGCAATTTACATTTGATCTCATTACACACACAAAATGAGATAACATGGGGGGAGGGGTAGATATTCAATAAAACTAGTTTTCTTCTCCCTCTTATAAAACCATAAGCCCTGTAGGGATTCACTTTTCAAAGTACAAAAAGAGAGAACACATACCTGAAGCAAAACCTCTACTATGCTGGCATGGCCCTCAGAAGCTGCCATATGTAAGGGTGTTCGGTCCACTTTGGTTCTGGCATCCCTACTTACACCAGCTCGAAGTAGTACTTCTGTGGTGGAATAATGCCCGTACTGTGCTGCCAGGTGAAGTGGAGAAGTTCCCAGCTATACAAGAAAAAAAAAAAAAAAATCCACATTTATTGTCATTTTAGTACTTTTTAAAAAATATATATTTTATTGATTTCTTATAGAGAGGAAGGGAGAGGGATAGAGAACTAGAAACATCGATGAGAGAGAAACATCAACCAGCTGCCTCTTGCACAGCCCTTCCTGGGGATATGCCCGTAGCCAATGTACAAGCCCTTGACCGGAATCGAACCTGGGATCTTTCAGTCCGCAGACTGACACTCTATCCAAACCGGTTTTGGCTAGTACATTTCTATTACTACCTTCTATTTTATATTTTGTTTAAACAGCAAAATTATACTATCTGTTTACATAATAATTTAAAAAAAGAATTTATGCTCATGACATTTTCTTCATAGAAGCCTTCAAAAATTTCCTCAGTGAAGAGGAAAAGTCAATATTTCAGATCAGATAACCTAAACAAAATTAAATTCATCAGGGATTAGAGATAATTAGGGTTTGAGAAAATTTTCAGAATATTGGAAACTGTCCCTCAGATTAACCACACAAAACTTCTTTTCATCTATGAAATTCATATCAAATAAATGTAATAGTGTATGTTTTTATATTAAACTCTTTTATAGGACTTAAAAAGTAAATTAAAGAACCTAAATTATATTTTTAAATGAGTTCATATAAGAAAAAAAAAAATTTTAAGAAAAAATATGATCTGAAGTGTGCTGTCAAAGGTCAGCCAGGACAGAACCAGACCAGAGCCCATTATATCAATTTCATGTGGTCTAAGCAAACCACTACATTAACCCCACATTCACGATATCCACGGCAGTACTAAAACCTGAGTGGAAGCTTGTTTGGAGGTTCTAGCAGAGGAGTGCAACTACTCACATACCCTTGACCCAATACGTGTCCTCTCCTCTGGGGGGAAGGCTGTCCTCTTCGACCTAGACCTAGCAGGCTGCTTCAGGAGGGAGGCACATGGATCGGTGAGGGAGGAGGGGGACACCCGCCTTGCCAGCCAGATCAGCTGAATGGGGGTGACAGATGTTGCAACCAGATTGCCCTCACATCCACTTTATTTTGTTTTTGTTTTTAAATCACTTATATATCTCTTATTAATATACTCTTGGTTTTGCCTATTTTGAACTTTGCTTAAATAGAATCATACTGCATGTAATGTTCTATGACTTACCTTCAGTATGCTCGTAAGATTCAACCATGCCGGTGAATTTAAATGTATTATAGTTCACTAATTTTCTCCGCTCTGTAATAGTTTACTGAATGAATGATTTAACTAATTAATTTAACTATTTAACCTAATTAATTTAACTAATCTACTGATGAACATTTGTGTTTCTAGTTTTTGTTACTATGAATTACGCTGCTGCTGCTGCTAAAAACAGTCTTAATCATGTCTCAAGTACATGAACAAGAGTTTCTCTTGGGAATGTTTTCAGTTCAACATCACAAGTATGCACATGTTCAAATTTACTAGGTACTGCCAAACTGTGCTCCACACAGCTCTTCACCACCGCTTGGCACTGCTAGACGTTTTTTTCCTGGCCAATCTGGTGGATATACAACTGATACTTCACTATTTTACTTTGCATTTATCCAATTAGTAATGTAGCTGAGCATCTCTCCATGTTTATTGGTCATTTGAACTTTATCTTTAGTAAAGTAGCATATCAAATCATCTGCCCATACTTCTTTGTCTTGTCTTTTTACTACTGCCCTGGGAATCCCATGTTTTATGGATACTAATCCTTCTTAAGATCTTTTTGTCTTGATATACTGTATCACTATGATGTATCTATTCTTTGAGATTTTTTTTTTATCGATCCTGCTGGAGATTTGATGAGCCACTTCAATCTGAGCTACCATCTTTCATCAGTTCTAGATAAATCTGACATCATGTCTTAATATTACTTCATCCCTATTCTCATTCTCCCCTGGATTTGTGACTACATATATCTTAGTCTTTCTCACACTAGCCTTCATGACTCCTGACAGCTTTTACATTTTGTATTAATTTCTGCATTGCATGCTAGATGATTTTTTTCATATATTTCAGTTTGTGAATTAGTAATTTTATTTCAGCTATTCTCAATCTGCTTATATTAAAAAATTATCTAAAGTTTTCATAAGTCTTCTGTTGTCAGTCGTTTCAGTAGATTATTGTTCAAAATATCTTGTTTCCTTGTCTGTTATTTTTTGTTTTGTTTTCACCTGTTATTTTTTACTGTTCTTTTTTCTTGGAATTTCATTTGTGGATATAAAGCCTAGAATGAAGGTAGGTTCCTCCAGAAAGGATAGTCATTTGTTTCTTCCAGGAACCTAGGATCTAGTCCAAAGATCACTTTACATTCTTTTTTCAATTTATGTACAGGACACAAATGTGTACAAGAAATAGCTTGTGACTCCAAATCTTTTGCTATCTCCATCTGATGAATTGGTTCAAGTCAGTTTCTTTACTTTGCAGTACCCTAAAAAGAGAGACAGGGGCAGAAGCAGGTAGGAGGAGGAAAGGAGTACTTCTGACTTATCCTTGTACTGAATGTGCATCCCTTTGGGGTTGCAGAGTTATGGGAGAGACTTTCCTAGGAGACTTCTTTCTGTGAGCAATCTCAGGTCTTTGCCTTCAGGAATCCATGCCAATGAGGTGGGACAACCAATAGGCAAATTTACTTAGTTCAGCAAATGTTCTTGGGTAAAATTTCTCTGGGTTCTGTCTTTTACTTGGTTTTTCAGGTTGATAATCTCTATTTTCTCTCTAATTCATGGGAGCACTTAAGATTTTTGAAATATTTAATCAAAATATCTTTATCTTTAAAGACATGTTAAAATATGTATGGGTGAGATGATTCCTAGACTTTACTTTAAAATAATACATAACAAAAAAAGTAGATGGGGTTATAGAGAAAATAAAATTCATCATGATTTTATAATTTTTGAAGTTGAGTAAAGGCTATGAAGGGGTTGATATATGTTTGAAATATTCCATATTAAAATTTGTTTTGTTTTGTTTTTAATAAAAAATAAAAAAACACAGGACAAGTCAGACAAAACCAACAAAATTAAAAATCTGGAATTTTTAGTTGTTACCAGTGGAAAGGTTAATCTAGATTCCTAGCCTTCTGAACTCCCAAAAACAACCCTTTTGATTTAACCCCAGAATTAAATAGAATTATGTTTTTTGTCTTCCTCACAGTTGCTTTCAGTTACTAAGAACTTTCCATTCCAGTCTTCCTCTTTGGTCATGTTTGCAATAGTTTTATAAATATCAATTAAAATGCAAACTTTTTTTTATCCTTTTTAGAAGCCATTATAACATTCACCCCAATCTTTATCTGTTATTTTCTGAATCAGAAATTGTACCTGTGCTATTTATAAGACTTTTAATTTAATTAAGTTTAAGTTTAAATTAAATCACAACTAGTAACATTTTATATTCATCCTATCTTATTGAACTCCATAGTCTAAAAGAAAAACCCTTTTATAATACAAACCATTCTCTTCAAAAGACAGCTATAATTCTGAAGTTGCAAACAAATTTGCAAAATAAAAATTTTATCACTTATATACACAATACTAAATTTTTATCTGGAAAAAAAAAAACCTCAAAAATGAGAAGAAAAAAATACCACATTAGAATCATTCTTTACCCAGTCTGTAGTAAAAGGAGCTCCATTTGCCATCAAAATACGAACTTCATCATCTTGACCTGCTCGTGCCGCTTCTAAAAGCTTCTTTCCCAAATCTACCAGGGACATCTAAACAAAACATAGATGAATTTAAAATCTCCAGTTACAAAAATGTCCCAGACTACTGAACCAATAAATGACCCAACTTTTGAGATCTATTCAGAAGAATAAATATATATTGAAACAGATCGATAAGGATTATGTAAGTAAATATGTCTGATATGTATCTACATATATATAATCATTTTTATAATGTGAACAATCTAGATTGGGAAATGGCTGAAGTGTGAAATCTAGTAGAATAATATGCAGTAATTTAAAATAATAGTTTTGAAGTTACAAAATAGCATTAAAAAGTTATGTCATGTTAAGTGAAAAGATAAAATACAGAACGAGTTTTTGAATGGCAAAATATGCCCAAAGAGAACAAAATGCTGAAAATTATTTGTGTGATTATGGGAAATTTGCCTCCAGTTTACAAAGCTTCTTCCATATTACTGTATTATCTTCCTAATTTAAAAAGTGGATTTTTTTATTTTATTTTTTTCTTTATTAAGGTGTTACATATGTGTCCTTATCTACCCATTGCCCCACCTCAACCCCCTCACTCATGCCCTCACTTCTGTGGTGTTTGTGTCCATTGGTTAGGCTAATATGCCTGCATACAAGGCCTTTGGTTGATCTCTCCCCCTTAACTCCACCCTCCCCTCCCTTTCCTCTGAGGTTTAACAGTCAGATCGATGCCTCTCTGTCTCTGGATCTGTTTTTGTTCATCAGTTTGTTGTTCATTATATTCCATAAATGAGTGAGATCACATGATATTTATCTTTCTCTGACAGGCTTATTTCACTTAGCATAATGCTCTCCAGTTTCATTTACTATGCTATTGCAAATGGTAAGAATTCCTTCTTTTTTACCACAGCACAGTATTCCATTGTGTAGATGTACAACAATTTTTTAATGCACTCATCTGTATATGGACATTTAGGCTGTTTCCAAATCTTAGCTATGGTGAATTGTGCTGCTATGAACATAGGGGTGCATATATCCTTTTTGATTAGTGTTTCTAGTTTCTTGGGATATATTCCTAGAAGTGAGATCACTGTGTCAAATGGGAGTTCCATTTTTAGTTTTTTGAGGAAACTCCACACTATTTTCCACAGTGGCTGCACCAGTCTGCATTCCCACCAGCAGTGCATGAGGGTTCCTTTTACTCTGCATCCTCGCCAGCACTTGCCATTTGTGGATTTGTTGATGATAGCCATTCTGACAGGTGTGAGATGGTACCGCATTGTCGTTTTTAAAATATATATTTTATTGACTTTTTGCAGAGAGGAAGGGAGAAGCAGAGGGATAGAGAATCAGAAACATTGATAAGAGAGAATCATCAATTCAGCTGCCTCCTGCACAATCCCAACTGGGGATGTGCCTGCAACCAAGGTACATGCCTTTGATCAGAATCAAACCTGGGACCCTTCAGTCCACAGGCAGATACTCTATCCACTGAGCCAAACCGGTTTCGGCCTGTTGCTCATTTTTTGATTGGGTTATCTTCCTTTTGTTAAGTTGTATGAGTTCCCTGTAAATATTGGAGATAAACTCTTATTGGTGATAACATTGGCAAATATGTTCTCCCATTAAATGGGCTTTCTCGTTGCTTTGTTGGTCGTTTCTTTTCTTTTTTTTTAATATATTTTATTGATTTTTTACAGAGAGGAAGGGAGAGAGATACAGAGTTAGAAACATCGATGAGAGAGTCATCGATCAGCTGCCTCTTGCATACCCCCTACTGGGGATATGCCCACAACCAAGGTACATGCCCTTGACCAGAATCGAACCCGGGACCCTTCAGTCCCCAAGCCAATGCTCAATCCATTGAGCCAAACCGGTCCTGGCTGTTGGTCGTTTCTTTTGCTGTGCAAAAGCTTTTAATTTTGATGTAATCCCATTTGTTTATTTTTTTAGTTTCCATTGCCCTAAAAGCGGTATCAGTGAAGAAACTGCTTCGGCATATATCTGAGATTTTGCTGCCTGTGGATTCCTCTAGTATTTTTATCGTTTCCCATCATGTTTAAACCCTTTATCCATTTTAAGTTTATTTTTGTATATGGTATAATTTGGTGATGTAGTTTCATTTTTTTTTTTTTGCATGTATCTGTCCAATTTTCCCAACACCATTTATTGAAGAGAATGTATTGACTCCATTGTATGCTCTTGCCTCCTTTATCAAATATTAATTGAGCATAGTGGTTTGGATTGATATCTGAATTCTCTATTCTATTCCCTTGGCCTATATGTCTGTTCTTGTGTTAGTACCAGGCAGTTTTGAGAACAGTGGCTTTGGAATACAGCTTGATATCTGGTATAGAGACCCCTCTTACTTTGTTCTTCTTTCTCAAAGTTGCTGCAGCAATTCGGGGTCTTTTTTTATTCCAGATGAATTTTTAGAGTTTGTTCTAGGTCTGTGAAATATGCCATTGGTATTTAAATGGGGAGTGCACTGAGCCTATAGTTTGCTTTGGGTAGTATGGACATTTTAGTGATGTTGATTCTACCAATCCATGAACACGGTATGTTCTTCCATCTGTTTATATCTTCCTTTATCTCTGTTTTCAGTGTCCTGTAGTTTTCCACATAGAGGTCTTTTACCTCCTTACTTAAATTTATTCCTAGGTATCTTAATTTTTTTGGTGCGATGATAAATTAAAAAGTGAATTTGGTAAGGGACAAATTACATCGTGTGGCTGTTAAATAAGGAAATGCTGACATTGAGGAAAATTATATACTACTGACTTACTAATCAGGAAGAATGATGAAAAAAACAAAAATATAGGATATTGACAACTTAATATAGTAAACTTATTGATCTGCTTTCCAGAATTGCAAAATAGCCGAGACCAGTTTGGCTCAGTGGATAGAGCGTTCGGTCTATGGACTGAAGGGTCCCGGGTTCAATTCAAGTCAAGGGCATGTGCCTTGGTTGCGGGCACATCCCCAGTGGGGGTGGTGCAGGAGGCAGCTAATCAATGATTCTCTCTCATCAATGTTTCTAACTATCCCTCTCTCTTCCTCTCTGTGAAAAATCAATAAAATATATTCTAAAAAAAGAATTGCAAAATAACAATGCATTTGAAAAAATCAACTTCTCTCAGAATTCTGCAATTATCTTAATTATTCAAAACATCGTACTTAAGGACCTAAGATACTTAAGTTACTGTGGTTCCATGAGAATACAACGGTGTAGTAGACTAATATAGCTAAATACTTTTAAATCAGTGGTTCTCAATGGTAGCAACAATGACTCCTAGAGGACACTCTATATATGGAGGCATTCTGGGGATTGATGGACTGAGGAATGGGATAAAAGCTCTACTAATATTTAAAGGGCAAGTGCCAGGGACTAGAGGTGCAGCAATACAGGGAACAATCCACTATGGAAAAGAATTGCCACAGGTCCTGGATGAATTTCAAACATTCCACTGAATATATCTAAGACTAAAATTCAATATGTTAAAAAATATATTTTCCACAGTTATTAATGTATCCCAAATTTTCCAAAATGCAGCCATACTATAAATCTATATATTTGTTCAGAACTTTACTAAGAGTTGTTCACCAAATTAGAAAATCATGTCACCAATCTCAATGCCACTTGGGTATGTGAATCATCCCTATAAATGACACTTTTACCAATTATGCTTTCACAGTTGTCACATTCATAATAATTCTATGTGTAGGTGGCAACCATTTGATACCTCTTCTGCCAGCTAGTGTGGTGCACTTGAATATTTACATACTGAAATACACATTTTATTATAAGTTGCTTTCCTTCTATTTCTCTTGTATAATAAAATTAGAGTATTATAATGAGTTTTTAATTAAGCAGATAGGTAATATTAACTATGATTTTCATTTCCAGTTAGCAAAAGGGGCAATATAAGATATTTATTATAAAAAGGAAGCCAGAGGTCTAACAAGATTAAAAATCAATTTCTAAAAAATACACAAGCTCTGGCTAAGTAGCTCATTTGGCTGGATGTCATCCTTGCACCAGGAGGTTGCCAGTTCAATCCCCAGTCAGGGCACATGTAAGAATCAACCAATGAATATATAAATAAGTGGAACAATCAATCAATGTTTCTCTCCCTCTAAAACAAAAACCAAAGTCTAAAAATGAAATCTACATTTGCTCAAAAGTACATGCTAAGAAGGCCATCTAGTGGTAAAAGGAATTACACAAAATTAAAATTTTAAAGCTTAAAGTCTATTTTGCTTTGAATTTCTGTAATTCATAGCTCATAGAGCTTTTGTGAATTTATAGCATCTACTGGACACGAAAACACTCTTTAAAACGGTAAAATACTACCTAGATCCATGTAAATTGCTACTAGCACTTCTAAAAATGAATGAGTAAAAACACTTAGAAAATGTAATCCTCGCTGGGACCGGTTTGGCTCAGTGGATAGAGCGTCAGCCTGCGGACTGAAAGGTCCCGGGTTCGATTCCGGGCAAGGGCATGTACCTTGGTTGCGGGCACATCCCCAGTAGGGGGTGTGCAAGAGACAGCTGGTCGATGTTTCTCTCTCATCGACGTTTCTAGCTCTCTGTCCCTCTCAATTCCTCTCGGTGTAAAATCAATAAAATATATTTAAAAAAAAAAAGAAAATGTAATCCTCTAAATAATAATAAACGTCGGTTGTCTCATTGAAATTTTTAGAATAAAATATCACTTCAATAAAATTCTTCTAAATTTCTTCATCAAATGATTTGGCACTGTGAATGTACCAACATCCTTTAAGAAGTTCATGCTCTTTGACCTAGTAATATCACTCATATAATCTATCATAAGGAAACTATCTGAAGCATAAATATTATAACATAATGTTGTAAAATGGGAAAAAATTAAAATGCCTTTGTGTAAACAATAAATTAAAGTAAATGACAATGGAATATTGTGGTTTTTATTTTTTACTTTTTATTATGAAAATTTTTTAACAAATTCCCAACAGAAACAATAGTATAATGAATTGCCACTTAGCCACCACCTAGCTTCAAAATTATCAATTCAT